TGTGCCAACTCTCAGACCTGTAGCTCAAATATGGCAAAAAATGGTTAAAGACCGATAAAATCGATGTTTCGAAAAAAAAAAGCATACTGGTGTGCGAGTGCTAATGCTCATGAAACCTCCTTGAAGCAGACGGTATATTAGGTTGGTGCAAAAGTTTTTTCCTTTATGTGGACTTACCCTTGAATCCCACAGAATAAAGATAAACAAATAGCCCAGGCATTATCATGTAGGATTTTTTTCTTTTTATCTTTTATGCTGGCGATGCGACAATTCCGACGAGCGCTGATATAATCGCAGAAACTTACGGCCCTTCATTTTATCAAATCTAACAAACATAACTTTATCTAATCTATCAAACATCGCTTATTTTCAGAGTTTCATATGAAATCTTTGAAAGGGACTTTGATAGCCTCTGACAGGGCAAACCTTTTGCAAATTATTGCACTTTTTTGCCTCTCTCTGTCATTTTTTTCAAATTACTGAATTATCAGTGCCTCACCTCTGCTTCGCAGAAACTCGCACTAGTCCTACTCCGAATGCTTACCCTCATACCTTCGATAGTCTAGAGACAGGGCGTCAAAAGTAAAGGTTGTTTGAACATCTGACGTCATAAATAGTGAAGGTTGTTTAAAGATGATCAGAGAAGAGAAGATTACATAAAACAGATATAAAAAGCAAAAGAAACTGCTGAAAACCGGATAAAAACGCTGCAAAGAGGTCTGAAATCTTTCATTTGGCGGCTTTTCAAAGTGCAAGTTTTCGCTCCAGGACCAGCAATTTGCAACACGGGGTTTGGTTTTTGTTGCGTCCTTTAAATTTTCACCCCCGCATTGACGTTCCTATTCTCTGGGGCTTTGTCTGGATTGTTGCGCTTATTGTTCTGAGCAACAGTCGCCCAAGCTGGAAAAAAATCGATGCGAAAGCACTGAAACAGAACAAGGTAAAGAAAAACGCACTTTTTACGATTTTTCGCAAAAAATTCCACAATAATCGAAGAGATAAAGGCTGGGTGGTTGTCTGCATTGTGAACAGAAGCAAGATCTATAGAATGCACGAAAAACCCGCGTGAAAATAGTCAAACTAGGAGAAAAACAAGAGATTTTCGAAAACAAGGTTTTTGCCGGATTTCTCGATCAAATCAAGAAATTTGGTTCTGGGACGTTGTCAGCGTGAAAATGGAAATCAAGAGCTTCAAAATGATATATAGCTTGCTAAAATTGGGTTTGAAACAGCAAAGAAAAGGTTACCAGAGCCAAATGCTCCGCACCCCGCGTTTGGGGTAGCGAGGTAGCGCGCAGCGCGCGGAGACGCAGACGAGCAGCAGAGACAGACCAGGCCGACGGGGCATTTGGCTCTGGTCGTAGATCTTCGCGGGGTCATAACGAAACCCTATAACATTATATATCATTGTGATCGTCGTTGCACGACGAGGAGAACTTACAACGTCCCAATCTTTGAAAATCACTCATTAACGAGATAGACCAGCATTTTCGTGCGCGACTCTCTGCGCAAAATTTAAGCGGTTTCTCGTTCTTATTTAACTCCAATAGCTTTCCTAAACTTCTAAAACTCGATTTTGTTCAAATGAGAGGTTAACTAAGAAATTTTATTCTGAATTCTGGCGAAAATCCCACAGAAACCTTTTTAAGGTAAAAAAGGCTACGAAAATGCAAATTCTCGGTTTCGCCGAGATAAGCTAGAGATATTATTCCTTACATTTGCTTCATTAGCATTTGCTCCGATATAATCAGGATAATAATATCCGGGGCTTCGACCTGGATGACTTCTGTTTTTTTTCCAGTTGAAGGTTGTGTCCCGTCATAGCCCTCAAAGTGAAGGTTACCAGAGCACGTGGCTCTATGTATCGAGGGTATGCTTACCCTGATTTCACGCGTATAAGGCGCGGGGGATTTTTTTTCCAAAATCGACCAGCCCAGACACGCCAAAGGACTTTACAACCAAAGGACCCTATAACGTGCTGTATATTGCTTGAGAGAATCGTGGGATGTAAGGATCCCTTTCCGGAATACAGTGAAGCGGCTGAGCGGCTCGCTTGAAAATTCGAAAAAGTGCGCCTTATGCGTGTGAAATTAGGGTACATTGAGGCAGCGTCCAGGCAGAATCTCGGCTTCTACTTATTTGCCTTATCAAACATTTTCATGGCGCTGATTCCAAGTATGGCACTTAAAATGCGTGAATTCCTCAAAAAAATTCCCCGATTTTTGAGACTATTCTGTGAGAAGCATGGACGAGTGCTTCTAATGCAATCCTTGTTGAAAGCAAGCATTTACAGGTAGACACTATGTGTTCCATTGTGTTCGCCACGAGGAAACACGTCAAGGGCTGAGGAGAGTTCGTTCAAGGAGGCGGGCCGTGCGAGGGAGTGGGCGTGGTCCTCGAGGCTCGGCGCTTTCTGCGCCGATTTTCTCCTTCAAATGGGGTGCACAAAAATTGAACTTGTGCGATAGTTCTAGATCGAGGCCCTAGTTGCCCGGACGCTGAATTTGAGGTACCAGTGCGTCTGCTCTGCTTTGCAGAGGATCGCACTGGTACTACTCTGAATGCCTTACTCATTCTCCGTGATTCTTAGCTTTTGTAGTGAGTAGTTATTTGACTTTATTTGTGGTAGTCGGCATGGCGCGGTGAATCTCAATGCCTAATGATGGCACACTAATAATGATAAACATCTAATCCTTCCAAAAGCTTTTTTTACGCGAGATCGGTGATTTCGCGAAGAAGCTTTCGCAGAAGAATGCAAAGTAGGTTTTTGACATCATTTGATTTGGTAATTGCCATACGTACGGACATTACTTTGTGAGCTAAATCTTTGTGCAAAACTTTCTCGAAGGTTCAAGTAAAGATTTGCGAATTGGCATTTACCACTTACGCAGCCAGTCCTTTTGGCGCCGTTTTCGTAAAGTAATTGATAGTAGTTGATCACTTTTCCAGACTAAAGTCAGGGCCCGGCACGCACTGGTTTGGAGCACTTTTGGAAACGAAGTTCCTCATGACTTCGCGAAAATTTACGAAGTCCGTTTTGACGTAGAAATCAATAGGAAAACCTTTATCAATCAACATAAGAATAAAAAAGCGAAAGCGCATCTTGAGGTATCTGATATAACAAAAAAGCAAAAAAAACATTCCGAGTTGATTGAAGGCTCTGCCATTGAGTATGATACTATTTTGGTGGTCAGAATGTCGAAGACCCCTTAAGCAAACCAAATCTGTGGCCTCAACAATTTGCCGATGCGTTCTTCGCCAGGTAGTTCAAAGGACCCCGCAGGTAATTGGAGCGTGATATCTATCAAAGCGTAGGTTTACACTACTTCTGCCTCAAAAAAAAAAGAGGAGAGGTAATGATTTCATTCGCTCTCTTCACTATATAATAGATTTTTGAGTGTTCTAATCGTCCAAAGCGAAAAGGTCCAAAAATTATGTTAACTTTCCGATATTTATGCTCCGAACCAACCCAGTTGGTTTGGCGTTGGTCTAGAAACCAACAAATTGGAAAACGGGTATTAGGACACATAGGTTCTTAAAAATTTCTACATAATATAGTTTGGAGTAATATTGTATACACATAGCCCAGTGTGATCGCTTGTACGCTGTAAGCAAGCCATTTGTTTGTTTGAGTGTCGCATTTGAAATTCGCGCGCTTGCGAAAGAATAGGTTCGGCTCATAAAACCTGGAATGTTTGTGATTTTTTTTCGGCACTCGCCCAGGACCATAAAAACGATATACTCATTGCTTCTAACCTCAAAAACGAAGTCCAGTTTGACCCCAGATTACCTGTGCAGGGCCCTGACTAAAGTCCATGGCTTGCACATTAACATGCCAAACACATCAATGACATTGCAAAAATTGGTATTACGGGCCCGATTTTTTGGCTGGAAGCTAGCGAATCCGTCTGAATCGCAATTTTTGAGCGATCCACCCAACGATTCCGCTGGTGCTTTTGTTAATGGACTCCAATGCTGGTAGCATGCGCTATGCAAAATTTGGCCTAGGGATAATGGCTGGTACTCGCTCTATGAATTTCACACACACACACACACACACACACACACACACACACACACACACACACACACACACACACACACACACACACACACACACACACACACACACACACACACACACACACACACACACACACACACACACACACACACACACACACACACACACACACACACACACACACACACACACACACACACACACACACACACACACACACACACACACACACACACACACACACACACACACACACACACACACACACACACACACACACACACACACACACACACACACACACACACACACACACACACACACACACACACACACACACACACACACACACACACACACACACACACACACACACACACACACACACACACACACACACACACACACACACACACACACACACACACACACACACACACACACACACACACACACACACACACACACACACACACACACACACAGACACACACACACACACACACACACACACACACACACACACACACACACACACACACACACACACACACACACACGGCATACACACGGCATACACGCAAACAGCATACAACTACGGGAGGTATACTTTATACGAGTTTTTCTGCTAAAAGAGAGTCACGAAATTTCCGTAAAAAGCTTTGTTTTACGAAGCATGTAGAAATGCGGGTTGCCATCACTGTGTTAAGAAATTACAAAACTCAAACGATTGCTCCACCCGCTGCATTCTCAATCCAGTACACACAATGTGTGTTGAGCTTTTGAGGAGCTTTTGTATGGATAGTAATTATTTCTTCCTAATACAATCGAAAGCAACAGGAGCGCTGAGATTGAATGAAAGTTAGAATTTTTCGAAAAAAGGGGACAATCTAGTTCGAGTCGGTAACTATCCAAACACCGAGTTCCTTCCTAGCAATGCTTTATCTTCCGCATTTGGGCTCAAACTCTTGTTTAGATTTCATACACTTGGTGTAAACGATTTTCTCTTGAATAGAGCCCCAGACTGGATGTTTATAAAATCTAGGACAAGTGTCAAAGTAAGTTAATGATGTTTCATTCTACCTTTATGTACAATCACTTTGTAAATTTTAGAAATCTTTTGCGTGTTGTTCACCACATTTCATTTCGATGCACTATGTGAAACCAAAATCGCAGTACCTAGTCGATTTTCTCGCACATCGTCTTAAGCCCTATGGAGTCCAATTTTGATCTGCTGATTGAGTCGTTCTAGTGTTTCAAAAAGGATTGCACAAGAAACAGTTGATGTTGTGATAAAGTCATCACGACTCTAATTGAGTCTGTCTAATTGTCTATTACGTGGAGTAAAAAGTTTTTCTTACTTATATATGTTCTTATTTACTGAAATAGAATAAACTCCCAGGTAGCATGGATCTGTTCCAAACTTGGAAAATTTTCGCTTCAAGCATGGGAATGGCTGCGAGTGCGCTCTAGAAAACATTATGCAGGAAAACGCTTTTTTTCAGCTTCTAAATATTGCGGCACAATCAAAAAATAAAAATGATGTCGTTAAATCTAGACAAAAGTAAGATGTATCGAATGCGCAAGCATCACGCTAGGGCGAGTAAGCTGGAGACAACTAGAAGAATTTTGCAAACGAGCTTTCCGCCCACTTTTGTTCAAAACAAAAACTGAGCTCGGCTACGCTTCCAGCGTGTAAGTAGGTTTCAATAGCTCTAGATTGATAATATAAGGCTTACCAGAAACCATCAAGACAGTGCGAATGGGAAGCGAAGTAGCGCACGAAATTTGGAAGCGCAGACAGAGAACTGAACAAGCGCATCAAATGAACTCATATCCTTTGCCAACAATGAATTCTATGCTGCAAACATTGAGGGGAAGAATATTTTTCGACTATAAATATGTGTAGCGGCTACTGGCAATGCCGATAGACAAAACTTAAAGGAAAAGTTGGTGTTCATGACACCGGAAGGGCTGTATCATTTCAAAGTAGTGCGTTCGGTCTAAGCACAAGCCCGGCAGTGTTTCGGAGGCTAATGGATGCAGTACTCGGAGATCTTCTTGGAAAGAATGTGTTCTGTTACATCGATGACATAATGATGTATGCAGCTAGAGAAGAGCACATCGAACTTTTGCGTGAAGTGTGCAAAACGATGAAAGTTGCGGGACTGAAGCCGGAAGCAAAGAAATTGCTTCTTATTGCAGCCAGCTGTATCATCTTAGGGCATAGCACAGATAGCAAGGGCGTTCACATGGATCCTGAAAAAATGGAAAAGATCCAGAAGTACCCAACACTTTGAACGTGAAGCAGCTGAGACGATTTCTAGATGGCATCATTCGTCGGAAATTTTGTCTGGGATTAAGCAGCTCCTTCGTTCCTCTTCACATCAAATTTCAAAGCATGGATTTGGGACTCACAAAAGAAGAAGCCTTCAAAAAAGTTAAGGAGATGATCTCAACAGCACCGGTACTCGCACAACCAAACATCGAGAAAGCAAAAAACGAAGACAATCCCTTTATCATATGCACAGATGCCTCCACCACAGGGGTTGGGGCAGTGTTGACACAGAAGGAAGAAGGCAACAAGATGCATCCCATCTACTTCGCATCAGAATCATTGAGCAAGGCGGAACGAAACTACCACGTGACGGATTTAGGGGCACTAGCAGTTGTTTTTGCAGTGAGAAAGTTTTATATAATTATATTAGGTCGTTCCGAAAGTTCTTGCGCACGATTTTCAAAAATTCATAACTTCTAATTTTTCCAACCGATTTGACCGCATTTATTTTTGTGTGGAAGAGTAAGTCAATCTCTTTATAACGACATCTTAGCTGCTTACTAGTGAACATCTGTTGCATAGATAGGAGTGATACAAGAAAATTAATCAAAAATCGAATTTTCTTTGTAGGCTCATAAAAAATCGGAGACTTGCAACAAAAATCGGAGCAGTCAGTATTGTACGTTCTTTCACCAGCTCTTTCTAACGGTGCAAAGTTTGCGCGATTGAGCCTCTCTATGAAAAGTTATGATTTTCCTAAAAAATGCCAAAATAAATCAAATTCGCCCTTTGTATTGCTTGCTCAAAATCATTTTCCTAAAAAATGCCAAAATAAATCAATTTCGCCCTTTGTATTGCTTGCTCAAAATCATTTTCTTAAAAAATGCCAAAATAAATCAAATTCGCCCTTTTGTATTGCTTGCTCAAAATTATAACTTTTCATAGAGACGCTCAATCGGGGCAAACTTTGCATTGTTGGAAAGAGCTGGTGAATGAACCCACAATACCGACTGCTCCGATTTTGTTGCAAGATTTCGATTTCTTATGACCCTACACGAAAAATCCAAATTTTGAGTGATTTTGGTTTTAAGCTTCTATCTTCTTCATTTGTACACATTAACGAACAATTCAGGTATATTTGCAAAGAACATGAGTTCCTCTCTTAACCAAAATTTGGCCATACAAATCTGTTGAGAATTTAAAGAGTTATGAATTTTTGAAAATCGTGCGCAAGAACTTTCGGAACGACCTAATATATGGTCTGCCTAAGTGGTGTACACCGACCACCTCCCATGCAGCACTTTCAAATGGTTGAACGTATCCGCTCGAAATGCCCAGATGGCCGCTGGAGCTGCAAAGATACAATTCAAGCATTCAGTATGCAAATTTAGGAGAAACAACGTTGAGAAAGTAAAAAACTCAGAAGTGGGATGTAGGATCTATATGAGGTACCCAGTGGAAAAAGGAAAAACGTCACACCCGAAACTGACGTGCGAATGGACTGGACCATTCCAAGTCCTAGATGTTAGTGAAAACATAGCATTGGTAACCAGAATTGGAGAAAACTCAGAGGCCATTAGAGTTCAATTCGATATGTTGAGAGTAGTCCCCGTAGAAATACCTAACGATTGAGTTGGTACTAACTTCTAAGGGAAAAGAGGAAGAAAACCACATACAAAAAGATGTGCTAAAATAGTGTTTTTCAGAGATGCCTACATCGAAGAAAAGGCACAACCCGGGGAAACTGCTGCATCAGTGCTTAAATGAGTGTCTCACAAAATTGCTGCTGAACGAGGTTAAAGGTGTAATCTTCCTTGGAGCAGTCGGTCGAGAATCGGTGCGAAGCGGTTGAAAGGTCTGGGTTGCCTGTAGCATATTTGAAAGGAAGAATTTTAACTTGAAAGAGAAGATTAGATTATATCGCATGGGACGGTTTGCCTGGATACAAAGTCGCTGGAAGAGGTCCTGTAGCTCGCGTCTGAAAAATGCACAGACTGTACCAAGTTTATATGTAGCAACAGCTGCATACAAGGCATACTCCAGTTTACAATTGCGACGTGACGAGCATATACAACGAAGCACTGAAGAATTCCAACGTGGAAACGGCACTAGCTTAAAGAAGCCTAAAACAGGGACCCGTAGGATGGCTAGCACCGAGATGTGCCGCGACCATAGAGAGGGATAACCTCTGAGGAGGAGTAATTGCTAAAGTAGTCATGCAGTTCGGCCAGCTCAAGAATGCTTTGGGAGTATTGAATCACTGTCGAACGTGGGTAATCGTGTGGCCGTGGACACGCGAAAAGAAGAAGAAGCGACCACAGATACCATATTGGCCTGCAAAAAACATTTTGAGGAAGGGGGAAATGGTATCGGTCTGGCCACCAATAGTATGTCGCGAGGTACACATATGGAATATCATGGCAGAACTTCAGTATCATCCAAGTACGACCGTTGCTCAATCATGGCAGAACTGTGGACGATAATCGACGCCACCTTGAAAGAATTTGGCAGCCCGGACCAGTTGTACCTTTTAGCGTCTACCCGTGTTGAAAATGGTAGTATGAATAGAGGCGGGAGAGCCTGAAAGTTCATTTCAGTTTTGCGACACATACCGCGGAGTAATGAACGCAAAACACCTATACGAAGCCATCAGGATGCGAACACCCGGCGCAAAACTGGAACTCCCACCGCCGCCGAGATCGACGGCTTCCCGGAGAGGAGGGATGTTGGAAGATGCGACAGATTATCAATACGGAGTTGGCGGGAAGAAGACAATTCGACCCTCTCAGCAGGGCATAAAAGGGGAAGAAAACGGGGAGCCGCGAGCAGAAGAGGCTCGCGGGAGTCGAAACTGGTCAAGAGAGATCGAGACCTTCCCGCTGAAAACTCACAGAATCGATTCCGACGTAACCGTGTGAAGCCCTGCTAGAGGGTAAAATCGGGACATTTCCCCATTTCGCGTTTTTTCTTGTTGTTTTATTCGCTGTTGGCCTTGGTCCGTGGTTGTTTGTTTTGTCATACGGACAAAATTTCTTGTTTTCAACCTGTTCGTGGGCATAGTCATTAAGGTTAAAACTTCAATATACAACTAGACACAGCCCACAGTTACAGCTAATTTGGGTGCAGTTTAGGGGCATAATGGCGTTTAGAGCTTGATTAGGGCTAGCTACAGTATTCCAGGATAGGCTTTCGAGGACTTCCGGTGGACGAGTTTGATGGTGAGCGAGTTCCGTACCGCCGCTACGGAGACCCAGGCGGGTACTGAGTCGGTCCCCCGGATGGATCCGATCCGTTGTCTTATTGTTAGTTAGCTCGCTGCTTGGGAATGGATTCATACTTCATAAAAGAGGGGTTTTCAATTTTAACCTTGTCATCATATCAGAAAGTGTAGCGGGGGATCACGTAGCTGAATAAAGGAACAAAGTTCTATCCTGGTTCCCTTAATCAGTGACAATGCGCGCCTTCACCGTCTCCCAGTTTTCCTGGTGGCGTCCTATAGGAGTGCTAGTTTGGGAAAAGGTATTAAGCCACGTATAATTGAAAACTATTCACATCGTACTCTGCGAATAATTTTTAGTTTACAAAGTTTAAATTTGGGTCATATGCTTACCTCTGTGCTAAAGAAGTTATTTGTTTATTTTAGCCTTGAATTTAAATGGCACGCACTTTGTAAAGTGACACGATGAAGCATGTCAATCGTGTGGTGACCGTTTTCTGAACGTACTGCTCCGCGCATGTAATCTGCACAAATCTTTCCACGCCTCCGCAACGTTTGAGAGTTGCTAAGGCGTGGGAAAACCCAGGAGATACGTTTCCGAACGAGACATAAGAACTGGGCCAACTGCGGAGGTTTAAACCATTGGAGCTTGACACTGACACTGAAATGGGATACCTATATAGCCGAACTCTAGCGGAGTACTCAGGCGTAAGCATGTTGTTCCCTAATCGCGCTGTTCGCTAACTCATCTCAACTGGGGTGATGTATGTCCTTTGCTGCAGGGACATACATGCATACCAGCATCAATCATCTGAAGTCAATGTGCCATTCGAATTCTAACTGAAAATGAGCCTCTCTTCCATCAGATTCCAATTTATTATAATTTTTCCTGTAATTTCGTAACAAATCAACTCACGGACAGACAGATTAGCGGCTTATTATATGCCATGATTGTGGCAAGGTTAGGATACCAATAGCGCCAGCCATCAACAAGGATATGTGTTTCATTGAAAGCAGTGGCTCGGCACATTTGAGTTAGACTAATTTTTGAGAATTAGCTAGGGAGCTAGAGGACTTGCTTTAGGTCATTGTCCAAGTCCCATTCAATAAGGTTCCCTCGAGGTCCTGAAAACTATACTCGAAATGGTGCGCAAAGGGGCACCATTTCGAGTATAAGGGTAGGGCAATTTTGCACGCGCCTGGACGGTTTGCCGGTTGCCCCTTCGCGTCTTGTCACGTCTTACCAAGCGCTTTCCTTCTTCTTGACGTGTTTGAACGTGCGGCCAATACTGATGTGGAGCGGTACACCCCGTCCGCGTCGCTTATACGTGGTCTTAGAAAAATGAGGTTTTTGGAATTTTCGTGCAGATCCCAACCTTACAGCTTCATGCGATCAAGAAGGCTTGTAATTCGCAAAAATCCCAAGGCTTAATTTTTCGTGACTCACTGCCTTCAAGGTCCTTCCGAGACCCTGATAATTTATCTTCTTTACATTGCGATAGGGTTCTGTTAATTAAATTGATCCCCAAATCTCGAGAATTTGCCTTGTCTACAGCCGAATCGAGTGAGATCTGGAAAATTGATAGAAATGCTGTTAGCGCAGTAGCGGCTGGTTTTTGAAGTTGAATCGAGGGACCCTTGTATTTAGACTTTTGGAGCGATTTTCTCGCTCCGGAAGCAATATTCTGCAGTCACAACCGCACTACGGCTTGTATAGGGAGCCTTCAAGAATCTCTTGCAACTGAGGTGCTCTCGAATCTTTCCGGACATTGCCTCCAACTCTGGCGTTACGCACTCTGATTTGCAGATTAAATCGCAGGTGAATGAGGCTTTACCTCAAGCGTAAGTCTCCCAGCCTTTCAAGCAACTTCTCGCTGCTGTTTTAACACTATGACTTCGCACTTGTGTGGGAATGTACTCAAGAGCGTCCACTTTCACATAGAGATATTCACATATTGCACATTTATCCGGAGACTACAGTCAATGTCAATTACGTACCCCTTTCGCAAGGGAACTGCGCATGCGCAACGCAAGGGCCGTGCGTGCAGATTACTGCATAGAGAGCCCACTTCAGTAATCTTTTCGAACTGAGGTGCTCCCAAATCTGTCCAGACACTGCCTTTGAGGCATCGCTGCCGTTTCCTGATTTCCATGTTTTACCACATGCAATACTACCAAAGAAATGACGAAAACGCAACTGCTATTAATGAAGCTGCATAGACCGGTGCGGTTTTACTCTTCATGAGATCTTTGTGAGGGTGAGTGAGAATCGTCATCAGGTCGCTAGATTTCTGGATATAGTACGGCCTCGGCTCATGCGATTTCGGTCGCCACGCGACCTGACAATCTGCCAGAGTTCTTCAAATTCAACACCTGCAGACTACAAACGCACAGCATGTACAACTTTTGCAAATCGACAAAAGGCCCATCTTCTGTCTATTTATGAAGTGCTCAGATGAGTTTTAGGCTAAGGGCATACCTCATGCGATTTCAGTCGCCACGCGATCTGGCAATTTGCCAGATACCTTCAAATTCAATACTGACAGACCCCAAATGCACTGCATATTTAGTTTTGGTAAGTTGATAAAATGCCCCACATTTTGTACATTCAGAAACCCCTTATGATGAGTTATGCACAATTGGAGTATTGCCAAGTCGCGGCGCGACTGAAGTCGCATGAGGTATACCCTTAGCCTTACACACAGAGGTGCGATAGGTGGAGCCGGGTCCCCCAAAAGTGAAGGTGGTTCCAGCTACCACTGGCCGGCCAAAAGTGAAGGTGGCAGTGTTGGACACTCACCTCTCAAAAACGTTGACCGGGGGTGGGGGTAGAGAGGGGGGGGGAGCACAGGACGGACTTTGGGTTTGGGTTTTTTGGTTTTTTTTTGTTCGGGTTTTTTTCTCGACTTTTGGGTATTGATTTTTCGGTGAAACTGAAAAAAGGAAATTAAGCAAAACGAACGCAAAAGAAAGTATAGAGAGCATATTCTATGTAGTTTATTTTTACGAAGTCGCCGTCGCCTACTGCGAGCATCTGGAGGCCATCACCGGCATGGACGCATATACGTCTCAGCACTTTCTACGATAGAGCAAAGCTTCATGATGACTTAGGACAACTGAAAAGCTCTAACAACGGCCCTCTTTAGGGCCAATAACTGTGACCCAACGGCCCTCTTTAGGGCCAATAACTGTGACCCAACAGCCCTCTTTAGGGCCACAAATACGATGAGTACAACTGCATAAATATTTTAAATAAAGGTGTTAATGAAATAGTGTATTTGTGAGCGATACTCAGCTAGACTTTGTGTGTTTCATCAAGTACATTTTGTTATGACGTACTGCGAAGAAAGTAGGTCGATCCAGGCAGTAACCGCCGAGAACCAGAATTTCGATGATAAAATAATGAAAAATCGTGAAAAATCATTCCACTGTTACAAATCTGCTGGCTGAAGACCTCCCAGTTGCGACTTCATAGGTTTTGAAGGGTAAGGTTGTTCTACCAGATAGTGAAAGAATCAGTTTGATTTGAGGAGTGGCCGCCGAGAACGAGAATTTTGAAAAACCTTTAAAATCTTCTCAATTTTAAGTTGTATAATGATAACTGACATTTAAACTCTTATAAATCCGGACTTTGAATGTGTGATGTTGCGACTTCATAGGTTTTGGAGGGTGAGGTTTGCCCTATCAAAATATGTCTTAGCTGTACCGATCCATTGAAACATCGCCGAGATCCAGGCTCTTGAAAAAGCGGGTGAAAAACCGTTTTTCAGCTCATAACTTCTTCAGAATTGCATAATTCATGTTGCGACTTCATAGGTTGGATTCTCCTCAACAAGAGCTTTCAGATGATATATAACATGTGGGGGATTCAATGTTTCTTGCGGCTCTAACCCGGGATGGAGTATTCCTTTTCACTAATTCTCCACCCCGCCCATTTCAATGTATTGGCGGGAGGCCGCCAGTGGAGAATTAGTGAAGAGAGGTACTCCACCCCCGGGCATATGCCGTGGGAGGCGTGAGTCCCCCAGACATTATATATCATTTGAAAGCTCTTGATGAGGAGAATCCAACCTATGAAGTCGCAACATGAATTATGCAATTCTGAAGAAGTTATAAGCTGAAAAACGGTTTTTTACCTGCTTTTTTAAGAGCCTGTATCTCGACGATGTTTCAATGGATCGGTACAGCTAAGACATATTCTGAAGGGCAAACCTCACCCTACAAAACCTATGAAGTCGCAACATCACACACCTTCAAAGTCCTGATTTATAAGAGTTTAAATGTCAGTTGTCATTAAGCAACCTGAAATTGAGAAGATTTTTAAGGTTTTTCAAAATTCCCGTTCTCGGCGGCCACTCCTCAAATCAAACTGATTTTTTCACTATCTGGTAGAACAACACTTACCCTTCAAAACCTATGAAGTCGCAACTCGCAACTGCGGAGGTCTTCAGCCAGCAGATTTGTAACAGTGGAATGATTTTTCACGATTTTTCATTATTTTATCATTCGAAATTCTGGTTCTCGGCGGTTACTGCCTGGATCGACCTACTACATAGATATATGCTCTTAATACTTTCTTTTACATTCCTTTTGCTTATTTTCCTTTTTTTGAGCTTTAGCAAAAAAATTTTCAAACCCAAAAGTGAAAGTGGTCACCCTGTACCAGCTCAAAAGTGAAGGTAGGCGGAGAATCGGCTCCGACTATCGCACCTCTGCTTACACATCTGAAGTATTGCCAAATCGCGTCGCGGATGAAATCGCGTGGAAGTATGCCCACGGCATATGGCTGAGATCAGAGCTTGCAAATCTCCAAAGCATTTGAGGTGGTTTGCTTTGGAAGTTCTGCTCCTCCCCAGATGAGTCAGACGATTCAGAAATTGGCGGGAAAAGTGTTACATTTGAATGTGCACAAGTTTTTACCGGATTATGAGTTATTAACCTCCGTTATCAGTTCCACGCATCTGTAACGGCTGACCCAAGCGTCATCTGTGCCAGATGTTCGACATGCCCGGCTGCGTCACCGCCTTCTTCGCGCCTCTTTTACCATTTGTGTACAGCGATTATTGTGCGCAATGCCAATGGTATGGCGTCGGCACTTGTCAAATGTCCTACGGCAACTTTTCTGTGAACATGTGGCGAACATGCAACGCTAACGTTCGATTGGAATACCATTTTAGTAACAGCTTTCCACGCCACGTGTATTTTTACCGTCACTTTCAGTCAAACAGGGCACTTTTCACAGATTTATTTCAAATGGAGAATAGTACGCTCTGCGCACACGTTTAAATGCACTCTTTATTCTTCCATGCTTGGAATGGACGCAGTGCACATGTCCATTAATGTCAAACTGTTGTGCTTATCTCGCTGACCACTCTTTGTACGGATATGAGCATTGTGTTCCCTGCTTCTACAGTTATTGTTCTCTTGTCACATTCTCCCCTCTAACTTTCATCTCCTCTGAAGTGGTCTGGGCTTGGAGCCATTTGAACGTCGTCTCTGCTTTGAGTGCAATTGCAGAAAGCTCGTTACTTTATGTTATGGAAGTCATTTTTCAAATCAGCACTCTTTCTTTTATTGCCTTCGATATTTTTGTTGATGCGTGTCAATATAACCATCGAGAAACGACTGTTTTGAAGCTCGTTTGAATATTTTATTGAACAGATGCCGAACAGATGCATTTCAGTTCTTGGCTTGAGCGTTCCCAAGATGCCGCCACGCAAGGGAAAGAGAAGCAAGAAAACCACTGCTCTCATTGATGTCAAGAAAAGCGGGTAAGAGTTTTCATGATTTTTTCTTATTTTGAGAGATTAGGGCGATTGTCTCTTGCGAGATGTGTCTGTGGTCGTTGTTATGAAGATATCTAGTTTGCTTGAATTTCGCAAATTTCAGGCCAGAACAATGGGACGCTATCCGCTATCACCATCCCAAAAAGCTGGATGAACCTTGTGCGCGAACTCAAAGCGATGGTGAATGGTTTCCAATCGAACGCATTTTGGATACCATATACATCGTGGGAACGAACAGAATGTGGCAACATCTGGTAAGTCGTTGCGCGTTGCACCTTGTTGTTCTTTTTTTATTTATTTTGAGCCTGCTGTAGGTGCAGTGGAAGCCAAGTTGGTCGAGGCAGGTTACTCCTTCAGCTCTACGAGATTTCCATGCAAAGGCAACTGTTTTAGGCTGTATTGTCAAGGTAACATAATCATTTCTATCGTCCTAATATGATCATTTTGGTACTCTTCCACTAGTTGACCCAAAAAATGAAAATCGTGGATTTCGCTGAAACTTCGTCTAAGGAGGTTATTTTGGATACTGATTACGAATCACATTTGTTTCGCATGGTAATGCCATCCGGTGGAGTTACGGTAGGATTGCGGTAAGCGGTTAGAATTACGGATTTGCTCCAAACTTCGTCTAGAGGAGCTATTTGATAAGCTGAACATGAGTGTCGTATCAATTTCGTACATTTTTTTTCGCGCCAATTTTTCGGGTTACGGTGAGTGTACGGTAGATGGCTAAAAATCCCGAATTTGCTCTAAACTTTGCCTAGAGGTGTTTCAAACGCGCTGATTACGAATATCGCATTCGTTTCGCACGATAAGCCTCTTCGTGGATTTTTCCAATCTGGCTGAAAAGCGGAAGAGTTGCTCTCTCACACACTGTAGCTCATTGTAACTCTAACAATTAGGCATTGTTGCAGCGAACGAGCATCATATTTGCAATCAGCATGCTTAAGAACTCCTTCAGGCAAGATTTTGAGCAAATTCGGAATTCTTAATCATCTGCCGTTTACCCAACGTAACCCATAAAAATTGCCGCTACTGTACGAAAGCAATATGACACTCATGTTCAGCTTGCCAGATAACCCCCTAGACGAAATTTGAGACAAATCGATCTTGACCTCCTACCGTAACCCTACCGTAATTCCACCCAAATGGCATTAAACAAATTTGATTCGTAATCAGCGTGCAAAGTAGCACCCTTAGACGAAGTTTCAGCAAAATTCGCGGTCTTTACTTTTGGGTCAAATGTGGAATAGCGCCTCATTTTCATCGGCGCACGTCTCCTAGCTTGCTTATTTGACAAGATATGATCTTTGAATTTGTGTTTTTATTCGCTTCTCCCTTAATCCAATATGTCTGCCAAAAATTTTCTTGTAGGATGAAACCTTGAGGTCAAGAGTCCGTCAAAAAATTGAATGGAATCGGAGAGAATTTATGTGCTCGGATTTTGCAGTACGTATCACTGATCCCGATGGAACGTCTACTGTCGAGGTTACTTTTTCATCACTATGTTTTCATTGTTGCTGGTTCTTACAAAAATTTCCACCCTCTACGTTATTACTTAGTAAACGGAACAACTTTAAAAACAATTTGAGCAGATTTTTGGAATAGAAATTCATAACACGTCATTCATGATTACAACATGCTCGGTTCACGTCAAGATTCCAGCTTTCTCTTTCTTCACCCACATCTTCATTTTACTTAGCAGTACTTATTACTTTGATTGCAATGTCAGCGTTCAGGTGTTACCATATCCTGATGTAAAACGGCGTTTCCCCAGTGCACTGTTTGAGTTTTTGGAGGATAGAGTTCCGATTCCTAGATCGAAAGTTGAGGACGAAGCTCGCAGCGATGGTCTGCTGTCTGTTTATGATGATGTATGTTTTTTTTCTTCGTAGATTCCAGTATCCAATCCAATCATCACCTCAGGTAAATATCCCGGAATGCCTGAAACGTGATCCAGACGCTCAAAAAATGACGAGAAATGTCACAGTGAATCAAAATGTGAAAGATGAAAATGGGGATTCTGTCAGTGCGTTGTCCGCATGTGTTGCAAACAGTGGAAACAAGAAGATCAGAAAGAGAAAGGAGCACAAATACTACAAAGGTGCTAGGAGGATAAAGAGAAAAAGCAATGTCGTGAAAATGGAGCTCGATGAAGCGAACACATCTGACAGAGCTGCAGTGGAGGTTTGCGACCGGACTTCTCATCTGGAAATGACTGACTCGGTGGAAAAAAGTATTGTTTTGGAAAACAAATCTTCGAAAAGCTTGAAAATCTGTGCGCCTCCAGGAGTCTCGCCCTCTTCAGCAAAAGAGTTCCTGGATAAACTTCAGTCTGCCACAAGCGAGAACAGTTTGCCCACAAAATCTCCTCCAAGCAGAGTGACTCTATCGATTAGCATCGAAAGTCCTAAAAGTGTTGACTTGCATATTTCAAAAAATGAAGATGACGACGTGGTGATAATCTACGGTAAGGAGGATCCTTTTTTGATTTAGCATCAATGCGTCTATTTTTAGATAAGGAAAGTCCTTGCAAAATCGTGACTTCTACTGAAGCAAAGACTGCCTCTTCCCTTGAGACGAAAAGCTCGCCTTCTGTAGGCGCAACTATGAAAGACCAGCGTCTGAATGCTGAAAGGGTATTCAAAAGGAGTGGTGATGGTGAGCTAAATTAATATAATTTTTTTTGATGTGCGCAATGTGCATCATGAAAAGCTTGATTCACTAGTACATCTTCAGAGGCATGTTCAAAAACTGCAACTCCTGTAAAACGTGTGTCTCCCCGTTTATCAAGTGGAAGTAATTCGAGCAAGCGGAACATCAGTCATGGAAAGCAACACAGGTATAGGTTATTAAATTGTCATGCATGCTTATAAAGCAGCCGTCTCAACTTGTGGTCTTAGCTAGATAGATTTATTTTGATCGAGAATTTCGTTTGGGAATTCCATTTTACGAATTGGCAGCACCATGTCATTATGTTAGTGGAAGCAATTTACCCTATGACTAATGCTTTTGACAGCTGATAGCGGTGAAATTTCAATGCTAAGCATTGTCTCTAATCCTTATCTTCTACCATATATTTGTAATCGTATATTCAAAGTCAAAGATTCTGCCGAAAATGCTCTCGATTATTCTATCTAGTAGTGTGTATAATGGATCTGGTGGACCGATCTGCTGTTTTTTATTTTATAAGAGCGTATGTAAAAAGTAAATTAATCAGTGGCTTTGTTGTCGTAGTTTTTTTTCGCTCTTCCATTCAAGCATTTAGGCGCAAAAGAAGTGCACCACTCAAATCGCGAAATTCGTTGGATGACTACTTTGGACAAAGCCATCATCGTAAGCAACATAGGCTTTCAGGGGAGGAGAATGGACCACACGCTAATGGTGAGATCCATCTTAAAAGTTAGTTTGAATAAAGACAAGCACTGAAGCTCTAAAAATGTAATTTGATATAGTGTTTGAAATTTCCTTCGCATCTTATATTTAGCGCTTTTCAGGACTTTCTAATGGAGCTGTTTGAGGGACAGATGAGAACGCCAGATGCATAGCTGGTTGGTCTGGTGTATGTCTGTTATATATATTGTGCGCACTGATACTTCCTCAGTTCACTTTATGTCTATGTGTATTAGGAATGAATTACTTTGTGGGATAGCTTTTAGCTGAATGCTTTCCTCAGCGCTTTTCCCCCAACTACCTGTTGTGTCACAGCGTATTTAGATATATCGTTTGCTTACCATTCTCTTATTCTGCTTATCTATACGGAAATAGTAGACGAACCATTGCTTCACTTGTTTTGCGCAAACATAGCCGCGTAAACACATATGTAATAGTTCCTTAACTGCCCGTGTTTTTGTTGCATTTCATCGTATTTCGACTTCTTTCCATTTTCTCGGAAATTTCATTTGTTTTGGATCCACGAACTGCCATGTGTTATCACCCTCATACTCTTAGCAATGCTATGTTCCGGTTGGTTTTTTTCGTAAACTTTGTGACATTGTAAATTTCACTAATGAAGTTTTTTTTATAAGAGTGCGTGTAAATTCAAGCGCTTTCGTTGAAGTATTTTATCCATTTTACTAGTTAATTGGCAGTCGGGTATAAAAATACTCGAACATGTAAGCTTTTTTACCAATATTTTCGCTCGGTATTCGATTTAGGCAAGTCACACTTGCTATGTCTAATGCTATACGATACATTGGCAATTACGATGTAAACGCAGAAGGGAAATTTTTGTGGGAGATTCTTTGCCAGTTGAGAAAGGTTAGTTGAAGATCGGAGTGCTCGTTAGGAGTCATAGGAACGCACTTTGTCGTTTCACACTTTCATCTTCTAATATACCCTTTCAAGCACATCTGCTTTCAGCTAGGCATTGGTCGGGTTGTCACGAAAAACGAGTGGGCTCGAAAATGGCCGAATCAGCCTTCATACATAAAAATTATCAGAGTGAGACACCTTAATCACAGTATTGGGCTTTATTGCATAGTAATAATCCTTCGTCGTTGTCTGGTCTGTTTGAACGTTTAGGCACAGCCAATGATGGATCGATGGCTTTTCGGTGGTAAAGTATGGGGGGAATGGACTTACCGTGGTCGAAATTTGGGCATATATTTGTTTAGTCATGATCTCATTAGATCTGATTGGAGACTCATCCACAAGTGAGAGAGCATTTCTTAGTTTGGTCTATATTTTATCTGTGTTTACAGACATGAAGAGAAAGAGTTTATGGAGTGCAAAGAGGCAATGGGCGAAATTACGCTACCAAGCTCTTTCCCTGTCCCTCCGCTGCAGGTACTTCAGCATTTCTTGGAATCTAGCAGATTATTTGTCAATAACGAATACCTGAGTTTTAGAATTTGTTAGCCAAAAAAGCAAGTGAAAAAGCGGGTGTTCCATTCCGCGAGGAGCAGAAAAGGGCGCCACTCAAGCTGTGCATAGATCCAGAGTTTGATATGTTGACGCCTTTCATCAAGCAGGTGCTAAGCTCTTTTTCTTCGACTCTCTTAACCCTTGCCTTTTTAGGATGAGCCAGTAAAGAAGAGCACATCAATTTACGATGAAGTCGATCCTGAAATTTATCTAGATCTCTATGGAAAAGAGTTGCCAGTCAAGGTATGTATATGTATATTTTTTTGACATAATTTGCCGATTGTTCCACTAAAATCAACGGAATGCGGCTCCTCCTCTGGGTTCAAATGCTTCTTGTACATCTTGTATTCGTGGATTTCAACTATTTAGGTAGAGGCATGGAATATTGGCCCTGCTACATTTACTCCACGTTTCTCAGCAACAGACGATGTGAAGGTCAAACAACAACAACTCAATTCCTGATCAGACAAAACGCTGTTGAATACATTGATAGGACAGAAACTGTAAAGAAATTGATATCTGAAAATGGATCTAGTGGTTCAGTGGATAAATTAGTAAAGCTTTCTACGTCAACCGTCTTGTAGGTACTCGAATAGGCAGTAGCATTGCTATCATTTTCGGGGAAAGATGGGAGGCAAAACTCAGAGGCCTCTGGACGCTATCAACATAAAGCAGAAGCTTTTATGATCGAACCTCTATTATATTCAGGCCCTGGGATACCTCTCGCGATTTCAGTCGTCACGCGATTTGGCCTTTTGCCAGATCTCTTCAAACCCAACGCTCGTACACCAAAAATTCTTGGCCTTCTCATCTTTTGTGAGTCGATAGAATGCCCTATTTTCCATATGCTAAAATTGAGTTTGCGGGAAGGTACATGGCATTCAAGCTGAAACATGCGTGTTTTTGCAAGATTTTCCACACAAGAAGCGAATGAAGATGCCTTATCGTCTAACTGTGGTTACAGAGCAAGATTTTGCCCGTAAACGTGGGCCGCCTCTCTTTTTTCTAGCTTTCTACTCCCATTTAGAAATGGAACGCAACGTGATCGCTCTGTTGCAGCCAGACAAAATTTTCCATTTGTGAATTCACAGGAAAGATGGAGAAAGAGAGACGGTCTGCATCGATTCTATTAGGCTGCTACATGAGTTCTATCATCTTTTTTGCCTTATGTTTGAAGCAGCTGTTCTAAGAGAATTTCATCTCTAATGCGGTGTTATTAGTAACATTAGAAAGTGCTTTTCTTGCTCTTTCTCACACTTATCAAATTTCAGTAAATTTCTTAGTGTAAGGAGATTTCAGCCCTAAAATCTCCAAGTAGCCGATGTACGTTCTCATCCTGGAAATACGTTCTTGCGAGAAAACCTCCACAATGCTCTTTTCAAGTCAAGTTCTTTTATTGGTTGCGGAATAAGGGTTTAGAAGGCTAGTATATGCAGGAGCTCAGTTTTGTGAAGATAACGTACTGCTCGTGAGATTTATTGTCAAACATTGATTTTTTGTATGAATGTTTTACAAGCTATAACTTCCTGCAAACAGAAGTAATCGATGAGTTCAAAGTTGGAGATGCTAGGGTAAAGAGAGAGCTAGGGGCCCATCCATCAACTCCTTTTCGGCGCTCATGTCAATGTAAAATTTTCACAACTCGTAAATAGGCATCAAACATGCGCTGAAGCGAGGTCAAAAAGTGGCTTCTTTTTTGCTCAGTTAAAAAATCTTTGGGTAACGCAGACCCTATGGGTCCTTTTATGTTGCAAAATATCCTACGAAAATTTGTCTATCTATCCATTGTTAGAAAAGATGCCTATCAATTCTCATAAGGGAGCATTGCCATGTCAAAAAAGACAGGTTTAAAGAACGCTGCGAAGTTTTTGAGTTTTTCCTTCTTTCTTAACAAGGATTTTCGCAGATCTCAATATGTGTCTGATAGCCAATGAGCTGCTAAACACATAGAAACTAAGATCTTGGAAAAAAGTTGACCTTTGAAAGAAGTTATGACATTTTGGAATCAAAAAATTCAAATCAGACACAACCTATACAGCAGCCTAATATACTCTGACATTCGGTGCGTGCGGCGCGCGCTTGTTAATGGCCAGCAGTGCGGCCCGCGCGCCTAGATTTACGGGCGGGGTCATGTACCGTGCGGTCAGCGCGCCTCGTATCCTTGGCGTGCGGCCCGCGCGCAATATATTCTCCCCGTGCCGCCCGCGCGCCTCCAATTCTCACACGCTATAAGCGCAATAGGTACCCGCTTGAGGTACGACGCTATGATTAGGCTGCTCCATCACTTGTGGAGCTGACTTAGGTATCATTTCTTGGCATTTGAGTAATCGCAGGAACATAAGAAGGGTTTTACTTCTACGGAGGTTATCCCTCGACAGCATACCGAATGGGTGCTGAATTTGAATTTTGAATTCTGTGAATTCAAATTCAAATTTTCGAATTTTTTGAATTTGGAATTTTTTTGGACTGTGAAGTTGAAAATGCTCACGGCACGACGAAAGAAGAAAAAGATCCATGAAAGAGACTTAATCTCTAGTAGTTTGCGAACGGAGCGCTTTCGATACCGATGCCCGCGCGCATACACCGTTCGGCCCGCGCGCATTCATCGTTCGGCCCGCGCGCACGGAGCGTTCGACCCCGCGCACGGAGCGTTCGGCCCCCTCGCACTACAAGGCGCCGCACGGGGAGCACGCGCGCGCCGCACGGACCGAATGTCAGAGTATGTTCCAAGCTTTCGAAGGGTACGTCGACTGATGAGACATAAAGCTTCCGAATCAAAAAAACGTTTAATCGATGATCCTATGAAGCAAAACATCGAGAAACCTTTCAAATTGCACCTCTGCACCAGGGCCCGGCACGAGGTGGGCAAATGGCAAGCTGGAAACCGTTTTGGGGCCAAAAAGCAAAGGGGATATCGTTTTTGCGAGATCCGGGCGGAGCCCCGGAAGAAGATTCCAAGTGCAAGCAAAAGAAGGTCGAATCATGCTTAACTTATACATCTAATTCATCGGAAAATTTTTTATAAACCTCAACGCGCAGCAGACTTCGCGCGCACTACGCCGAGTTGCCGCTAATTGCCGCGTGCGCGACGTCGCATGAGCGATGCCGTTAAACAGCATGATTACATGATCAGTTCTCAATGCAGGAGTAATAGTTTAGCACCAAATTACGTAAGCGAACAAAGAGAGGTTAGTAGAAACAAAGCATGAAATGTTATGAAAAACTTATTTATTTATTTATTTATTGAATGCACATGACGTGCGCCAAAGGTAAATGAACAAACAAAATGAAAAGTGTAGGCAGTTATCAACTCAAAAACAATCAGCAAGCATTTTAACATCAACTGCATTGTCACCCTCCCCACTACAACAACTGTTATGCGATGCTAACTCTTTAATCAGATCATTTGACTCCTAGCCACTTAGTGATGCCTCATAATGTTCAGTAGTTGGTATGCAGCTCTCATTCACATGGTAAGCAGCCGATAAAGAAGAGCAGATACCGAGGCGAATGGGCTAAACCATGCGTGCCTCAGAGGCATAATTCCTCCTAACACTAGCACTTCCTAGTTCCCATTGCTCATCTTAATGAATCAACTGAAGAACTATCCAGCACGAATTCATGAAAATGACATTGCTTGTGAGAAAACCAAGGTGTATGGAACTGAACCATGCTTATCTAGGTACTGAGTTCCCTCTAATTTTCTCTCTGTGATACCTCAGTGGTAATTGGCAACGGGAAGATACTGTAGCTAGGATCGAAACACAATACAAAGAGTGAGTATGCTTAAACAGTAAGCTGGAGAGGGAGAGGCATGTGAGTTGATGTTAGTATCAGTATCGGTAGAATTAACATGAATGATACTCATCGCTGTAGAGAAGAGCCCGTCGATCAAGCTGAAAGAAAAAACTCTTAGAAAGAAACTTTACTATAAATTCAAATATACTACAAATCAACTTTCCTGAGCTTGAATTTGAAGCTGGAACTGCAACTGGCACCTAGAACTTCCGAGGGTAGTTGTTGTAACCACCTTGCTCCTCGATGGAACAGGGTGTTGTAAGCTAGCAAAAATTTTCTTCTTTTGAGATGACTATAATGCAGATTGAAATAATTGGAGCGTAGACTACAAGGCATGAAAACCCAGTATTTGCTTGCAGAGAGTATAAGCTCTTTTCGTAGTATTTTAAAGCAAAAGACGAGATCAAGCTCTTTTCTACGATGCTCCAAACTATTCATGTTCAATTTTTTGATTCGGTCGGCATAGGAAGGCATATTAGTTATAGCTAATTCTCTCCAACATCTTAGATACACTAGACGGGTAAACGTGTGCTGGACTTTCTATAACCTCCTGACATCTCTTCTCAAGTAAGGGCTCCACACTTGCGAGCAGTATTCTAGATGAGGTAAAACAAAAGCGTTGTATAATCGTTTGAGGATCTGCGGATTTTGAGTATGTATGGATCTGAAGATAGCAAACAGCACATTGTATGCCTTTTTGACTACCATATCTATATGTTGTGAGAATTTGAGAGAAAGATCAAGAATTATCCCTAAGTCTTTGGCTACTTTACATTGAGATAGCGTAAACCCATTGATTTCATAACTGATTCCTGGGTTCCCTCCGATATGCATCACTGAACATTTGCCCAGGTTGATGGGAAGATCCCTTTTTTCTGACCAGACCAATAGTCTTTCAATGGAAACTTGCAGCGCTCTATGTATTTCATCACAATTTGAAGAATCGTGAATTCCATAAATTTTTACGTCGTCGGCGTACATCTGTACCTTGATAGAGGTTGAGGTTACCAGAACCGATGGCAAATCCGACGTATACATCAGAAAGAGCAACGGCGAAAGTGCACCCCCTTGCGGGACTCCACTCTGACAGTGTTTTCTTTCTGAATAGTTTAGTCCTACTTTGACAGTCATGTGTCTTCCACTCAAATATGCTTTAAGCCAGGCAAGCACATTTCCGGATATCCCAAGATTTCTAAGCTTGAACAAAAGCTTCTCATGACACACCTTATCAAATGCTTTTGAGAAGTCGATGAAAATAACATCAACAATCTGATTCTTGTTGAGTGCCATGGTCCAATCAAAAACGGTATCAGCTAGATTAGTAGCAGTACCAGATCCTTCAAGAAAGCCGTGTTGCTCTTTGGGGATTATGCCTGATTTCAAAAGCCATGATGTGAGCACATCGCACAAAATCTTCTCCATAACCTTGACCGAGGAAGGAGTGATGCTTATCGGGCGGAACTCTGATATTAGATGAGCAGAAGAAACTTTCGGTATTGGTGTGATCAACGACTCTTTCCACACTCTAGGTATCTCACCGGAGAGCATGGACATGTTGAAGATGTGCGCCAAAGGCTTACACAAGGCTTCAGCACATTCTCTATACACTATCTGGGGTATACCATCATAAGGTTCAGCCAATGTTGGCTTTAATCTTTTCAAAACTTTCCTTATTTCTGAAGGCTCAAAATATACATTACATAGGAGGCGATTAGATGGAGGTATAGTGACCAATTCGCCACCGAATGTTACGGTATCAACAGCTGTGAAAACACTAG